TTAACTTCAGAAAAGTGCTGCTGAGATGGTTTCCACCCAGAGGCCTCGTTAAAATGCCCTTTCCCTCTCACAATGAAGGTAAATCCCGGCGAGAAATACTGGGAAGTTAGAATGAGGACCAGATTGTGAGTCTTCGTGATAAACGCATGTGTTCCTCCCAGCAAGGGGAAGCCGTCGCTCATTGATATTCAGCAGTGCTCTGCATTGCCTCACTTTCAGAGGCAGACTGAGGAAGTTTAAGAGCAGTATAAGTACATGAGAGCTCTAGGTTTCCTTTTCACTGGACATGAAGTATACTTATACACGTTTCTATTCTCATACAATTATAGTAGAGCCACTGAATGGCTCCAAATGGTGAAAATTAAACCTCTTCAGTTATGTCATAGGTAATCTTAGCACTGTTTGGAAGGCATACTGAACACAATTCTACAAAACCCCAAACCCCAATCCATTTTAATAAATACAAGTTTAATAATAAATATAATAAGTATTCACTGCTTTTTTTTTCTTTTAGTCATTAAGATGCTTCGTTGAAGTTTTTCAGGATTACACTATCAGCACTTTTGAACCAGGTCAAGTACAAAAAGGCCAACCGCAGTACAGTTGGTAAAGCAAAGTCCATAAATGCACAGCTTAGATATAATAATAATAATAATAAAAAAACCCTTCAGCACTGCATTTATCCTGCAGACATCAGCAGAACTACACAGGGTCCAAATTGGCAGTGTGTATCAATTAGAGGCAGGCACGGGGGCCCATCTATTCTGCCACTCAGCACTTCCGCATTGATTAGCTCTTTCTCCACATCTAGAAAGCTGTGTGAGCCCCGTCCTTTCATGTCATGAAAGCTCCCAAACCAGAAAATATTCCTCCTAATAAAAAAAAGAGACCACACTCGTCAAATATGAGCGTGCACCTGCTGACTCCAGATATCTTCGAGGTCCTCCAGTGAGCACTCCTCATTCTCCCTGAAAGGTGTTCAAAGCTTGTTACATAAAGTGATTGCTTTGCTATGTTTGGCCTTGAGAGTGGAGAGTGCTATGTTTTACAGTCTTCACATATAATTGCTGTTAATCTTTAAAAATGATGCAATCTATAGGCCGTTACATTGCAGTTGGGAGCGCTCGTGGGTTTGTGTTGTTTTTTGTTTTCCAGGTGTGCAGTATTAAAAACATGTGACGTGCATCAGAGATTAATATGTAAAAAAAAAAAGTGGCTGAGCTGGGAAACCAGCTGGCTAAACCATCCATAAAATCTGAATCCTGAATCCTCATACAGCCTTTCTGTCTTCATCCATCAGCCCACTGCAGCTTTTCCCATCAAGTCAATCAATTTTTAATTTTGTTTTATATAAAATGTTTTTATCCTCTACAGTAAACCCACACCAAGATAACTAACTAATAAATTTGTCCCATGTTCCTCCCCTCACCGCCAACCAGTCGTCAGATGGCTGCCCATCCCTGAGCCTGGTTCTTCCTGTAAAAAGGGAGTTTTTCTTTCCCACTGTCACCAAGTGCTTGCTCATCGGGTTGGAATATCTGATTGGTTTTCTCTCTAAAGTGCCTTGATGCGGTTTTCGTTGGTATTTGGCGCTATATTACTAAAATGGAATTGAACTGAAAAAGTAAGCCTTAGTCTTCTGTCTGAATGACTACGTTTAGTTGGCTGGAAAGATGAGGAGGGATAAAAAGCCAAGAAGCCCACATTATACAATCCAATTTGTAGGAGTTTGTGAGGCATGCAGAAACACAAATCTCAATGAATATGGTCTTTAACTTTTATTCCTCTCCACTCTCACAGGAAGAAGAGATCCCAGAGTTAGAAATCGACATAGACGAGCTCCTGGAGCTGTCGGATGAGGGGCAAAGAACCCGGCTGGAGGTAGGATTGTGTAGAATAGCCTAAATACTGATCTGATTAAATATTCCAATTGCTTGTTAATGACTTGTCAGTCATTTATTATTGTTTAGTGTTTTTGCAACTAGTTCCCCTAAATTACATATGTATATTAGTGCTGTCAGCGTTATTCTCGTTAAAATGACGTTAGCGCCATAACAGCATTAACGCGGCAAATCTCCGGATCGCCCCCTGTGAGGGCAGCACGGCGGTGAAGCCCCTGGCTGACAGCACTAATGTACATATTTGTATTTGGTTGTCCTTAAGAAGAAACTGACTCATAATGAAATCCTGTTGTGCAATGTATTCAAAGAAAAAGCAATGGAAAAGTGTATACCTCTTTCTGTTTGTTCATTAGGAGTTGTTGCAAGAATGCGGGAAGCCAAAAGAGGTGAGACAAAAACTTAGAAAAGAGGACTAAAATAATAAGTCTGCCTATTATTTTTTTTAAAGTTACATAAAAAATTAAATAAAATTTCCCCATCTTCTCCATAGGATTTTATCAACGGGCTGCTCTACAGGATAAAGGGTCTACGTAAAATGTCAGGTCCACTGAAGAAATAATTGTAGGTCAAATTAAGAATGGAGACAATGTGGAGCCGCTCATCTTCCCGTCCCCCCCACGCATTAACCATTTGGATGCCTGTAGGTGTGGATCAGAGGGACTATATTCCTGCCCCCTGCCTCCTCTTCCTTCTCCTGCTGGGTCATCATCAATGTAACACCAGAGCTGTGGGGCTTTGAATTGATTTTTTTTTTAATGTTGTTATTTCAAATTCATTTATAGACTGCTTCAACATTTTGTTTCCCAATACCATACCAATAACGTACACGTGATACAAGCTGTACTGACTATTACTCAGACGGACTGTTTTTTGTGTATGACTGTACATTTTTAGTTGCTTATTTATGTACATAAATATTTTTGTTCAGATAACAGTGTTGTCAAAATGTAAAAAAAAAAAGAAAAATAAAAACATTTCAACATTTTCAAGACAATGCTCACATCTGATTTTTAACAAAGTGATACACCAATATGCTTCATCGGGTATTATCATTTCCACTCATTCAAATAAATATTGGCGTGTACATTACACTAATTGGTTTACAGTACCAGTTAAACTACCCTGAGCTCATAACTGCTCAGAAACACAGATAATGATTTTGCCCTACTGTCTACAGACAACTTTCCTACAGAACGGCAGTCAGCATTTTATTCCCAAAACATAAGGTAGTGTTTTCAGGCATTTTCAACAGATTGATGGAAACAAAGGAAACTTTGACATGTCAAGAGTAGGTGTAAACACACTGAGATCAGCAACAAGATGTTCCATTAAGTATGCATCCATTATCCTCGTCCATTTCCTGTCTGGGGTACGTGTATGACACGGCCAGAAAAGGCACAGTAACACTTTCCATATGAACCTTAATGGAGCAAACCCCAAGAGAAGAGTGTAATTATGGTTTCTCCTCAGCCAGACAGTAATGCACGCTGATGAGCCTGCACTCTGGCCTTCTCTCTGTCAAACACAGAGGGTCTTTCGGGTGAGGTCTCCACTATAGAAATTTATATGGTTCTCCTCAACTTCTCTGACAAAGAAGGCATGTATACTATAAGAACTGCACTCCTTACAAGGCCTGACAGACTGAGATATTTTTATCAAGTAATAATACGTTGAATCTAAAAAGGGAAAAAAAATAAGGCTTTAATGTTTAAATTAAGACTAAGGTATGCTGCATGCTCTCAACGACGTGACATAGTTGCTAACACTTATCTTTTATTTATAATGAAATTACACACACAGCCAAACACAGATTACAAGAGCGACTGCAGTGACTGCCAAAAGAAAACAAAGCCCTTAGTAATCCTTTTATACTGACTCCTCTGTGCTTCTTCGGTGCAGCGCTGACAGCAGTCTGGGATTGTACATCATCCCAGATGAGCTCACGACGTGTTTGCTTTCTGTATGGGTTATAAAAACTTGGAAATCATCATATGATGACAAGTGCAAAAGAGCACTTTAAATAAGCCTTTGTTGCCATTAGGAACTAGGACAAGTCACAATAAAAATAAACCCAATACTTCTTATTCAGATCAACCATATGAATTTTTGGGATTCCTATGTGATGCGGCCGTGCAGGTTTGCTGCAATACCTTCACAAATATTACATACGTCTATTTTTATACATTCCACAAAAAATAAACTATATTTAAGATATTATACATATTATAATGCATTTACATTGTGTTTATGGTCCTTATCTAGCCCGTGCTTTGCAAGAAATATTACCAGTGGTTTCTTATTATGCTTCATTCAATTAGTTCAGCCTTAGCATTTACTGAATAAAATGTGTTGAGGAGTTCTGATGGTTTGTGGCTTGTTTTAGATGATTAGAGAGACTGTTTTCTAACAATAGTAAGTCACTTAAGGCTAATGAATAAGTGTGATGGCTGGCCTAACTCTACCAATCACCTGCAGCTTAGCTTCACTATCATGTCTCCCTCTTCTTCTTTGGCGCAGTGTAGTTAGTGGTGCGATGCTCCTTCCTATCATATTTATCATGGCCTTCCCTGGGGACATAATGAAGCATGGATTGATAATTCATCAGACTAAATACTTTATATTCATGCTGCTTAACAGTAGGGCAGCAGCTTGCCTGCAATTTATCTGGGTCATGGTATGCATTCCAAATCACAGAGATCTTGTTTTTTTGTGTGCAGTCAAGGCTTCCATGCAAAAGTCTATCATGAGTCTAAAGTTAGGTTTTTTTTTCTTTCTTTCTATAATTAATGCATTTCATACTACCTGAAGCAGCGGTTGCAGTACAGATCTCCATCACAGGTGTGACATCGAAGGCTGGCATCTTGGTTACAGATGCAGCACCACGGAAGCTCTTCTTCGTCACTGTCTGACGGCTGATGTGCATCGGCAGCAGGTAGGTTCCTGCTCTTAGGTGCGGGAGGCGGAGCCTTTAAAACAAAATCAAATCGGGATTTAAATTTTATGCGTAGCTTTAAAAAAAATAATAATTCAAGCGTGGTTTTGTACCGGTTTCTTGGACGATTTTTTATTTTCCCTATTCCTTGGCCCACTCTGTTCTAAAGGTATGTTGTAGCCACTGGCTTCATCTAGTGTAGCTTCTTCTGAGAGCTGAAAGCATAGAAGAAAAAATAAGAAGTGATTAAACTGGCAAAATAGCAGCCCCTTGTGGCTAGGCACACTGGTCTGAATTAGTTCACTTGCGCCTTTAGGGGTGTAAGATGTACGCAGAAACAAATTATTTATAGTTCATTACCATCTCATGGTTATTTTTGCCACACCTGTTTTAACACTCTCATAACAGCTTCTTCTTCAGTCTCCTCTTCACTATCAGGTTGCTGGAAGTCCTCCATAGTAACTATAAATGAATCACAATGAAAATGGGGCATGATACACTAGCATGCTAGGACTTCTGTCATGGAAACTGCATTTACAACGCACGTCCTTATCATATTTTATGACACACTAGTGCGTGGATAACAGATAAGGTGAGGTGAATGGTGCTCGAATAACTCACCTTTGTCCGGGTCCTGCCCCTTCAGCTGTGCCAGCCTCTTTGCCATGTGCAGGATCTGATCCTGAGAGTGACTTTCTTTCCTCAGCTCCTCCATAGCTTCCTCGAGCAGATGGGCTTTCTCAGCCTCCAGCTGCTTGGCTGCATCCTGGTTCTCTTCCAAATTCTCATCCAATGTACCTGCCTCACCTTTATTGAGATCATTCATACGGCCATCTACACCTTCAGATTTAATAACAGTGTTGTTCAGTACCTGTTTATTAATTTTACGATATAAGAATGAATGTTATGACTGACTCATTACTTATTGGTTTAAGGCAGGTAAAATCAGGGAGAAACGCAATATCTTACTGCATTCAGGATTTGATTGTTGGTTGTCAATTGCAACTTCCTCTGTCATCTGACTTATCAAATCATTGGCTTGTTCAGTCTGGGTCTGGTTTTCTGGAGGCTGATGCACCTACAGACATGATTAGACAAGCATATATACTTGGAGTTAAGGGACACTGTTTAGTATTATGTTCCCCCTAAATAAATATTTGAAGCTATTGAGCCACTGAGCTGTACTGTAAGGCCTAAGATGTTACAAACAAGCAGGAAGAGATTCAGCTCACAGGTCGAGGAGCTTGAGATGGTGGAGGGAGACCCCGCAGAGTGGCCAGACGGTCCTCCATCTCCTGTGCAGAAGGTACTGGCTTGCTGGGAGCTTTCAGAGCAGCAAGTCGGGACTCGAGCTCTTTGTCAGAGGGGACAGACCCTGAAGAGAAGGCAAAAAGCTTACTCCTTACCTTGTTTTGGAAAATATTATAATATTACTGCACTTGCTGGATTAAATAAAAATGAGAGCTGCTAAAAATCTTATTACTAGGTGCTGTGTCCTCCTTGAGCTTTTGAAGCCTTTCAGCAATTGCCTGATCTTCTTTGCTCAGGCCGCTGGTTGGTGGATGTCCTGCTTTGCTGGTCCTCACAGGCTGTGTTGGCTGTCCTTGCTGTTTGGCCTCAAGTGCAGCGACCCGTCTAATGGAAGACACGTGTACTTTAGATGTTATGAAACCGCTGTGCTGCCAAAGTTTAAGTTATTCCCTTATTTGATCGTATACACTGACTTTTTATAGTTTTCTGGAGGAGACCATCTGCCAGCACTGGTTGAAGATGGCCCACTAAAAAGAAAGAAATTAAAATGAGAGAGAAGCTCCAAAACCCAAACTACTTTTAGGGTTTTTTTTTCTTCCTTGCAGGGTTTGAGCGTTACCTGGTCAGATTACCATGGCACTGTTTACAGACCTTCTGCTGGGTGTTGCCACAGCGAGGCACCACAGCACTGAAAGTCAAGCAGCTGGAGCAGAAGGAGCGGCCGCAGTTCTTACAGCCCAGCTATGACGAACAGTAAATAGATCACTTTATTCAAAATGTACCTCTATGTATGTCTATGTGGTTAGCATTAGCCGTGAAATACTCACCTCCTTCTTGAAGAGGCTAAACTTGGATGCACAACAATAACATCGACTGTCCATATCGACACATGCAGAGGCTCATGGGTAGGGGGATGTTAATGCTATCGATACAGCTACAATGGGTTAAAATGTCTAAGAAAACACACTCAGTCGTGAGCATTAATTTGGCAGCTAGCTACTAGCAACTATTTTCAGGTGTTCATTCAAAACAGGAAGCAACGCGGAAGGGGAGGTATGACGTAATGTAAACGCATTTTCCGGTTTTCCGTCCAATCAGAGTCCTGCTAAATCTCTGGCGGTCCTTGTTCAAAATACAGACACAACCGTTCAACAGCTTTACGGCGACAACGTTGGAATTCGAGCTGTCACCTAGAAAAGAAATAAAGGAGGCTCGGAAGCGGTATAGAACACGCACATTTTGTAGAAAGTCTATTTTAATTCAGTTATGTAAATTTGTCGTCGATGGAAAAAACGCTAAAGTTGGTCAGGCTAAAGCTATCGTTCGCTAGGTAGTGTGTTAGCTCCAAACACATGCACTTCCTAACGTTAACAGGAACGCAGGGAGAGTGTTGATAGCTAAACTTTATTTTGTGTACGTGTCACACGGTTTGTGATACGATGGAAGTTTACCACATCATTATTTAAAATGTGTTGTTGTCGAAGTGCATCGTTAGCTCATGTTGTCCTGAAACATGTTCAGTATGCCTCTTGGACATCATGCTATTTAGTTCTCACACAAAAGAACTAACTAAGCCCGAAATAAACAATTATAATGACAGTACCGGTAATATATTACTTTTGGCTATACAGAGATAATAATAAGCTTTGTGTATATAACATTTCACGTTAGTGTATAACAAAGTCAGAATATCAAAAAAGTTATTTCAAATTAAATACAACTACAACAAAAGTGCATCAAATGAAATAAAAAGTAACAGACTTGACCAGTGAAGAATAAAATAAAAACTGAATGAAACTACATATTACTTAAAGCAAAGAAGTTATATGAAATTGAAACAAGTGCTGTCTGTAAAGAATATTCAGTCACACTCAGGCTTTGGAGGGGGCTGTTAAGTTTAAAGATTTCAACACGGTCAGGTTTTCTTGTAGGCTGTTGTTGCAGCTTGTTGCGTCATACTACTAAAGCGCTCTCTCCCGAGGTTTTTTGTTTTGCTTTTTGCCAGGTCTAGGGTTTTTATATAAGGGTTTTTTAGTGTCCAGGTGTGTTGTGTTCTCTCCTTTTGGTCGTAGTAAGAAGTCTGGCAGCAGAGATCTGAATCAACTCAAGTAGATTTTAGGTAGATTAGATAGCAGAGCCTTAAAGTAGTCCTGCCTGCTATGTATATAGAATTGGTTTGTCAGGGTCACCAAGATAAAAGTTTGCATTCTAGCAACATTTTTGAGTTATAAAAAGGATGATGTAGTGGCACACCCAACACAGCCCTCATGTTATGATCTGAGTCAAGACTAATCAAGTCAAACTTGGGTAAAAAAGAGAAACAACAGGATTGTGGTAAATTTTTAAAGCATAGATAAAACTATGAAGGTCACCTCAGAAAATCTTCCTTTAAAACCGTTATACAACTTCAAAATTATTCTGTTATTCATTTTGTGACAGTATGGCATCTTTCTGACCAACAATCTAGGATATAAATTTCACATCTCTGGGCCGTTTTGTTTGTTGGGGGGGGGCACACTGATGATGTAGTAGTCTCAAAAATTCTTGTGTCAAATATGATACACCAGGCATTAAAGGGTTACGTTTAATTTTTATTGTTCTATTGATTTGCCTATAAGATAATTTCTTATTGAAGTTAGATTACAGATTAGAAATTAAAAAATAGGACAACTTAAAAACTCCAACAAACTGAATTAAATGTGTGAATACAGAGGGCGAAAGATCCAGGACTGATTCTGTGGGCCAGATTTCTGGCTGTTTGTAGGGGATCAAGTACTTATTTCACTCAATAACAAATAACAAATCCATTTAAAACTGTCATGCAGCTTTTTTTTTTTTTGGTTAATTCTTAATTACAAATTCAGCCGGGGATAAATATCAAGTAATTAATTCTCCTGCTGTATGTATCTAGTTTCTGTCTCAGAAATGGCAGAAGGAGGAGATGTGGAATGGGAGCTCAGCAAAGAAAACATCCAGCCTTTGAGGCGGGGAAGAGCCATATCGGCCTTACATCAGGCGCTGAGTCAACAACAAGATGGACCCACCTCTGCAATCAACCAACAGCGACAGTATGGATGGCTATTTTAAACTTAAATTAGGTGACAGAGATTTCTGTTGTACATTTTGTCCATGCATTTTTCTATATGATGAAAAAAGACCTTGTGTATATTTATTTCTGCAGGGCATTTGAGTCTGAGTTGCGCACATACGAGGGCGATGATCCACTTAGTGTTTGGGATCGGTAAGGGAAATATGTCAATAGCCAAGTGTGCTCATAAACATTGCTCTTAAATTTCCCTGTAATCCTAACACGGTTTTATTTTTCCAGGTATATTAAGTGGACAGAACAAACCTTCCCCCAGGGAGGAAAAGAGAGCAACCTCACCACACTGCTGGAACGGGTCGTGACCAGATTTACAGAGGAGAAACATTATCACAATGACCCCCGCTATGTTGACCTCTGGATCAAATTTGTGAGTGCAAAAGCATAACCTCTGACTATTTCTGTTACTTTGACAAACTAATGCTGCATTTATAACTTTTCATTACATGTCACCAGGCGAAGAACTGCCAAGAGCCTTTGGATATTTACAGATACATGCAAGCACAGGGAATTGGAGTAACACAAGCTTCCCTCTACATCGCTTGGTCAGAGGAGTATGAGGATCAGGGCAATTTCCGCAAAGCAGACTTGGTCTACCAAGAGGGGTTCAGAAAGAGTGCTGAGCCACATGATAAACTCCTACAGTTTCACAAGTATGGAGGCATCCAGTATAGTTTCTGATAAATAAACATCTCTGTTATGTTGTTACAGTGATCACATTTTTCTGTATTTATATTCGCAGGGCACTGCAGGCACGCGTTTCCCGGCAGGTGATGATGAATGTGGAGGAGGAAGACAGTGATGATGAGCCTAAGCAACTCGAGAGAGTTTCTCTAGCTGATCTGAAACACAGAGGGAAGAAAAAGGCTGTCGCCCCCATCAACAGAACAGGGGCCGGAATCAGAAGTAAGCACATGAATATACAAATAAAATGTGTTTCAAAATACTAAATTGATGGTAACAGTACTTTAAGACTGGGAAAAACATAATGAGTTTGTATTCAGGTATTCCCGGTGGCCTGAAGTCACAAGGCGCTCCTGTTCTTGGCAGTAACAGTCGGTTGGTCATCTTTGACGAGAATAAGGCTCAGAGCGCAGGCCCATCGGAGCCTAGATTGGAAGCTTGGGTGGCTCCTCCCACATCTAGGGCGAAGGAGAATGAGCAGAACCCTGAGCGATGGTGTGATGTGAAGGTATGGGAGAACAGGCTCATTGTTGTGTGTGTTGAAAGCCATTATGCAAAGTTGATTCATAACTTTCTTTTTATGTCGTCATAGATGCCCCAAAAGTCCAAATTTGGACATACTGTTATGGCTCCACCGCCTCCCAAACTCACTTTCCAACCATTTGTGGAGGAGTCGGATCAGCCTCCTACAATGTGAGTTACTATAAAAACCTTCATTTTTTTTATTCATTCATTTTTAATGTTAATCATTATTTTCACCGGGGGGGAACAGACAAAGAGACAACAGGCAGGAGCATTAAAGGTTCAACAGAAATGCCTGAGTACCAAGATCTGTGGCTGTATACGCACATTTAATTGAAAAGCCCAAATAAATGAATTTTAAAAAAAATCCTCCGTCATCTCAGTTATCAAATCATTAGCTTGTTCAGTCTGGGTGCAGTTTTCTGGAGGCTGATTGCACCTACAGACATGAATAGACTACCATATATACTTGCAGTTGAGGGAAAAAAGTATTTCCAGTATTCTTCACATTTTTAGTAGCATATCTCAGAAAAAGGTCTGGTTTTTATTTTATGTCATTGCTTTATCTGCTAAATATCATATTCACATCACATGTTGATTAGTGTCTTCCTAAGCTGAATGTAAGTGGATTGTTCTGTCCCTCCCTCAGGACTCCATGTAAGATCAACCCAGCAGTTAACACAGTTTTGTCAGCGCGTAAGCCGGGCAGAGAGGAGACTCCTCTCAAAAGGCTGCAGGACCATCAGCAGCAGCAGAAGGAGGCAGAATCGGGAAAACAACAGGAGCAGAGCATGTACTGTAAAGAGCTGCTGCTAAATGGTGCTGCTGAGTTCTGCTTTGAGGAGCTACGAGCTGAACGGTTCTTCAAAAAGACGGCACAAGAATCAGAGGAAGGGCAGAAGGATGAAGCTGCAGCTGGTGCTGCAAACTGATGTTTCCAAATGGAATTTAGTTCCTTTTCTGAGTTTTTACCGTTTTTGACTAGATCATGTAGTGACTGTTCATCATCCAGATGTAAATATCGTAAGAGATTTCCAGTTACTCAGAAGGCTTTATAAACAAACAAAAAAGCTTTTTGAGGGGGATACCCTGGGAGCTGAAGACACACTAAAAGGTGTATTGGATTCATGCAAATACAGTGGTTGGACCAAATAATGGGAACCCCTGTGCACTGCAATGTAATCTAGTAAAAATGCTACTAGCGTGAGAAAAAACATAGATGTAAATACATGTTGATACTGAACTGATGTCCATGCCTAAGCTACCAAGCTACTACTCAAATGTGTTCCTTTTTCACTCCTCATTGCGTCCAGTGTTTTTAAGCAGTGTTTTTTTTGTATGCGTGCTGTTTTTGTTTTTTTCTTGCTCAGTATTTCTTGAGCAGATTTTTCTACTCTAATCCAACACAGTCACAAATGGGTTTCAGTGAGACACTTCAGCTGGGCTTCATGCCTCAGCCTGATTACATGCACCTTTCAGGCCATGTAACATTGATGTCCAATAAACTTGCTACAATAACCAAACCAATTACTGGTGGTTGTTAATTTCTCTTTTAGAAACCAAAGGGGGTTGTAGTAATGCACTGTCAGCAGGGGGCATGCAAGGGGAAGCATAGATTGCACTCCAGGTAATGGTGTTTGCTTAATTACTAACAGGACACGAGAACAGTTTAGTGCTGACTGTAATCTGTTGCTGGTGGGGGCATCAGATAAAAATTCCTTGGAAATGTCTAATGACATTATTCAGGAAGTATTTACCCCATTCCCAAAAAGCATTGAAAGTATGCTTAAACTTTTAATCTACTGTGATGACAGGGTCCACTTTACACAGTCAACTT